ATCACCGATCCCGTGGCATTTTTGAGCACTGAGTGTGATCGCGGTGTACCAATCACCCACTTGGTGAACTGATTATAAGAGGAATGAAACCAACCGAAAACAATGAGCAGTACTAAGGTTAAACGTGGACAGAAAGTGTGTAGATGCACAAGTACTAGTATCTACAACACTCAGTCACACAATCCCGCACACCCATTCACTGATCAGATTTATGTCGAGTGTAGACGACCAATCCGCTGGTCAAGATTTCACACTTTCACACCCAGGTTATAATCTGATCTCCCTTACCGTTTTCTCGACCATTGCTAATCTCAGCGAACATTGGACACCTGGAAAGATCTTTCAATAACCTACGTAACACATGACTCAAACACCACAGTCCACGGAGGTAGAAAATTGCTTTAGATTGCGACTACTTAATAATTTTCATTGTTTCTGCATTGCCTGTTCAGTTGCATTTTGCATTGCGTCCTAGGTAGCGGTGTTCGAAAATCAATATTGTTTTCATCCTCTATGTCTCCGCGTTATATGGCAGCATGGGCTGAACTAACACATCGTGCACTTGACCAAAAGGAATAAATGGATATTACAACTACAACAAGCATATTTCAAGGTTCCTACCTCCGGTTGCCTTTAGAAATTCCGTAGACCAAGAACAAGCATCATCACAGGACAGGTGAAATTCAACTGCTCGTTTGTTCCTCATCATGTGAAATGCCTAAACGTTTGTATACCGACCTTGTCCACAATTCACCAGAGATTCGTTCCCGAGGAGGTACATGATTACCTGATTGGTCAGGCTTAGTCCTTTGTTGATGTGTTGACAAATATCACATAAGTATCATTCAGTTTTTTGTTCTGACAAACCATCAAAATGTCCCAGCTAAAACACTCAATTGATTACCACCACGTTTTTCCTGTGCAGGGATTCGAGCAGCGGATAGTTCGTTGCTAACAGCAATTATGTGAACTTTGGTAACAAGCTTTCGACACAATTATCTGAGTTCGATCACAACACTCAACTGATATCTCAATGATAATAGTGCCATCATTTCTAGATATTTGTCGGATTCAGTTAAAGCGAATTCATCTGGGCCTTATCAAGACATACTGAACTTACGAAAACCAATTGCAAGAAAAAGTGCTGAATAATTTCAGTGAAGGACTACGTGAATACACTTTCGACACTATTTCCCTGACCTTCACTTTCAGCTTATGCAACTAGTACCCATGCTCATTCCTACCTAGTGGCACCAGCCATCTAAATCAAGTAACCGAAACAAGGTGTTGAATAGCTATACGGTGCTTCTGGTGATCAAGTTCAGATCAACTTTGTTGTTCAACTGAACTGCATTAAATGCTCGCTGTTGTTCATCGAGTTAGCAACTACTAACCAATACGTCATTTGTTCACACGATGATTTTTTTCTTGAAACTCCTTCATTGGGAATCCGATTTAAGTATGCGCGATAATTCTAGTTGAAGGAGTCTGTGATTACTGATAACAGAAATTTCACTCCAGCGTCTTCCAAATGTAATTGTGCATTTTAGAATCTTCCGATCTCAGTCAATTTTGGGAGCGACGAAAAATCGAATGAAAGAATCGATTTGCCAACTATATCACCTATTTTGTTCTGTCTGTCACGAAAGTTGGTTGCCTTTAATGACTTTTCATTGTAGTTATTTTTTGAACAGATAAACTGACTTCATTTTTCAGATCTCGCATCAGAAGGAAATCAAACAGTATGCCGCACTGATTGAAATCGATTGGCATTGAGTAAACTCATGAAAATCACACTTTCTAGACATTTGCTTGTGTGGGAAATTCGGGTTATCAATTAAAATTCATGCTTTCAGTGATAGTTACACTTTCACACCTGGTTTTGCCCATAAACGGGTCTTCGATTTGGTTTCATTCAGTTCAAGCAGATATCACATTTTTCACCTGTCAGATGGATCAGCGTAATCTCATACTGATTTTGGTTCACTTTCAGACATCGACATACTTGGAATCATATATAAAGGGTTTTCATTTGTCTAATGCATCGCGCAATATACTATTAAATGGTATGTGGAAGTAAACCGGAAAAAAGCATCGATGTGTAGATGATATAATCCTGCCTAATTATCGATTCTGAAAAAGGATGTGTCAATCTAAAAAGAAGAGACATTTGAATACCGAATACTGTAAAAAAAGACAAGCACAATCATCGCGATTCTTAGTGGACTGCACTGAGCGACATATGTGACCTATACTGTTTTCAATGAAATGGCGTGGGTTGATAAAAATGATCGGTGAGAAACGAATGTGGCCGCCCAACATGACATACATTCGGGATAGCTTTTGGTCAGATATGACCTTTGATTGGTCGACTGAGTGAATGGACTACCACATAGTATGTATGCATTGCTTAAGTAGGCCTGTGATTTTTTGAACGAAAGTGTATTTTGTGTTTCAATAAATGAATAAGATCCAGGTCACTTAGCAGCTGTCATTGCAAAGAAAACATCGGTTGACATAAGTATACAGGTATTTACCAAACTCGTGCAACATCCTAATTTTCATCACAATTGTTCCTCTCAGTGCTTTGATTTTCCAGACTCATTCATCGGATTGAATATGATGTTGCCTCATATCAGACGCAACAAATAATAATAATAATACTTATGTCTTTACCTCTATTAGCCACATGCCATTAAAATGTACCATTTCGCGATTTTGACGATGTTTGCTGGTGCATCAGGTATAAAATAACGAAGTCATTGTAGAAAACGTAACTAGAACTTATTTATTAAAATGAATCAGACTACGGACAGTTGTTGTACTTTCAGCTCGTTCATGTTCCATTTGCCCTTCTTTATTTTTGAGCACTAGAGGCAGTCGCTTTAGCATGGAGTCCACCAAGTTGATTGTCAAACAAAATTTGTCAGTTTCCTCTGATACACCCCTCACCCTAACCATTGACGACCAATGTCGAGGCAGCTGACTTATTCCTGTTTCTGACAGTAAAATGTCTTCGATAAAATAAAAATCCCAGCTACTGCACGGTATTTGAATGAATTTGACCCCGCCAGAGACTGCATAAATGTGAAACAGTAATATGTAATCAGGTCTAACCGTTTTCACTACCAACTCCAAGCGAGAAGATAAACCGACCTTCATGTGTGAAAAATATGACTACAACAACAACTACAACTATTCTTCGCTGAAATCGAATACGACTATCGTCTTGCTTTGGTATGATCGGTTTTCCCTTTTTCGGTTCATATCTTGGTGGAGAAATTCCATTGAGTCTTATGAATTGGACTTATGTTCACATTGAAGCACTACCACAAGACACCAACTGAATCATCGGATTTATGTACCCCTCGATTAGGTTGCCTCTAGGCTTCACTTATATGCCAAAACCGTTCGAATGTTCCATCCGGTATGGGTATGGTGACACAACAAAACGGTTACTCTACGAGCCGCACACCTCAAGGTCCACTTTTGAAGATGAACTGTTTTTAGTTCTTTCAGTATTGTAGATAATGTGTGAGTAGTTCTTAGCCAAATAATTTATCAACTTATTTAAGTTAAAATATTTTCATTAATTTGCTTATTTACTGTGTACTGAAAGAAAAGGGAAGCAATTGAGAATACATGGGCGCAACTTAATAAACATTGTCATGGAACAGGAATCATTTATTAAAAAGAATGAATTCCCTTGCTGCTTCACTTAAAAGATTTTCAAAATCTGAGCTGTAAATTTCGAACTACTACAAATTTTATCGCAACACTCAACGTCACGCTATTTCAAACGGTGATAGGAGAGAACTAAGAACATAGGTGTGGGAGATAAAATCAGGACTAAATAAAAGTTACCCGTAGCCATCAATACACAAGTGGGATATTGGAGACTGAAATGTATTTCCAAAACGAGAGTGATGTTGCACGATATTGATCAACACCTGTAAATGTATGTTTACCTTATATATATATATATATATATATATATATATATACGCAGTAGCGAAATACGAGTTATCGTCGGAACGACCGGACTGTCCTAAGTAGGTTCCAATATTCTTTTTCTAACCGGACAACAGAACCGTTATATTCGTTCAATCGCAATTGATCAAGGTTTGTAGATTTATTACCCCGGAATAAATCTGTTATCAATAACGCCTCTCGCTCCCTCTCTGCGATTTGTTTCTTCTAGGGACGAATTTTTCGTGCCCCGTTTTGCCGGGTCACCTTTGCCGATTTCTGGCTGGCTGATCAGTTGAACAGTTTGAGTTTCATTCTTCCCGAGCTTGCCCGATTTCTGTGTTTCTACTCCTCACAAATCAGTTGGCGTGACGGGATGAATTACATTCCCCTGACCGATCAGAAGAATGCGACCGATGTGGCACAGACCACAGTACCTCGTTGTGCACTCAACTCGGACCAGTTTGTGCGTAAGTTTTCACATCCTCATGGAATTTCGGTCACAGTAGTGTTTCCTTTGTTTGACTTTTTCTCCCACAACATCCTTGATACGAGTGCTTATTGTCTCCGGTCTTCTGATGGCAATCGTTAGGTTTTGATCTTCCATAAATTTATTGAAGTTTCTGACAGGTGAAGCATCACGAAACACACATGCAACTCCGTTTGTCGCATCTTTAACTATTTGTTCACAAAGTTCGACACATCATCAAAGAACATATCACATTTAATCACGATCTGACACGAGCAGCATTCTTGCGATATATTCTGATCCCTGTGATCAAATTTAACCATAATCCGATTGGCTACTGAACATGAATGGTCATGCAAAATTTTGTGTATGGTTCAACATATAATATCAGGTTTTTAAGGATAGGCGTACCGGAACAACTGTTTCTTGAAAATTTGTTATGCACTTGGTGCCTTAGCACAAAGCTATACTACTTCTACACTTTTTTCAAACAGTTTTCTATAACTTATTACGAATGTTATAATGTTATTAACACACCGATGTCGGTATAGAATTGTATTCGCCAACGTCTCGGTTATCTTGGTTTTGTTTGTAAAATCTGTCTCCAGAACGTTTACCCACGGTGACTAGAGTTCTCTACCGAAATCGGCGAGTTAATAATCTTGTAGCATTCACAATAAAAACAACTCATGGCGCATCGATTTTTCGGTACACTCCTAACATAATTTGGTTCAGATATATTTAAAACAAAGTTTTCTAATATGTTACATGCTCAATTATTATCCCATATATAATGTTCTGATTTGACGTTCCATTTTCCATACCACGATATTCTCTTCATCGTCCGTTTGTAGCGAGTTTTTTTACAGTTCACGGAACGCCTGAGACGAAGTTGCCCCCGAGTGTCACTAGTGTATTTTTTAAAGGGCCACTTTTGACGGTACGCAACTGAAATAACAACGGACTCAAGTGTTAACCAACGCATAAACAACCAGTACAACTGGATAGCGTTGTTTTAGACTTATGCTCCAAGGTGATCTGTTTTGACGATGTAACTGTTATAACATTATATTTTATAACGGAAAACTGAATATATGCTGTTGAGTTCTAGACCGAAATTCACGGTTTCTGTGAGCTTTTATGGTGATAGTGCGTTAGTTTCATTTATCTTTCACATACGTCTGAGGCCAAACTGTGTGCCACACAAATCATTGTACAATAATCTTTGTAAAAAAATAAAAACTTTCTATGATTGGCATGTGCGCGTTAGTTTAACTACAATGGATGATTTATTTCGACATCCTCCGTTTACACGTTCTTGTGGTAATGTCTAAATGTTGAGTTGTTCCGAGTGTAGTGTGTTTGCAATCCAGTTATGCACATCCAGGAAGGTTTTGAAATATATTCATGTATTCTAGTTGCAGTACTCAGTATATTCCACCGAACCGGGATTAGCCATCTTGAAGCACACGCTGCACCGTCGGTTTCAATATTTTCCCAACAACATCTGCATCACATTTGTGTTTGTTTCAAAACAGCAGTTTCGGTTTATGTTCTTACTATACCATTGAAAAGTTCCTCTACTCAGTCATGTATTCTTCACGGATGACAGAAACGCACTAATTTACACCGTTTTGCCGAGTAATTCAAAAACATTTGCTTGTTTTTGTTATGATGATAAAAATTGTAATCATGGGGACCCACTTTTTCCAAATTAGCTGATTTTGGTGTGTGATGCATGTATTTTATTGATTCCTTCGATTGAGGTTCATTTTGACCCCGGTTATCCTTGCGTATTTTATATCATTTCAATTGTTTCCATAACAATGATGAGTGTCATGTTCATGCGGCAATCCGTTAAAACATTCGGCGCATTGTTCCGAAGCAATTCCTAAACGTTTATATCATTTGTGATAACATTGACCAAGGTAAAGTTGTCCGAAGACCGCTTGTCGTCAAACTTAAGGAATTCGCCGTTATCCTGTGAATTATGAACACTAGAACCTTTTCTATGGAAACGAGGAACGTATGTGAAGTTCGAATTCATTACGCTATAGTTTTAGAGATCGATTGAGATGGGGAACATTCGTGACTACAAAACCAGGAACGTAAAACCGAATATCGTCGATCACACGAAGGCTGTATTTTTGCAGCTCACAAATGAGTTCCATTTGATGTGAATGACCTAAGCCATGTCACCTAAGCTACTGTGGTTTGATTAGCGCTTACCGAATCTTATTGATTAGATTTTTGAATCGTTAATTTTAAAGAGAAATAATGCGATTTGCCATACGTAGGAATGATGCTCATGTAGTAAGTACAAATTGCAGACTTTTTTTCTAACTCCATGCTTATGGTGTCCTGTGAGTTGAATTCGACAGACTAGAACATTGATTCCAATCAAGGAATGCACATGTGGCGTATTATATTTTCAGTAAATTGTAAGGCATTTGTCAACTTGTTGACGATTTATCGGGTTCCTAATTACTCAATAATGTTCACCGCTACTTCACGCAGATAAGGTACATTCCGGTGATTCTTGACCTGATTATTCGCGTCAACATCGTAATTAGTTTCTTCTTCCGTAAGAAGATAAGCCGGCTTGATGCAAATAACGGATTGCGGTCGCCCTTTGACAACGAATGTTTTGAATGGGCTAATGGGGGCCCAGGAGACTCGCGATTGTGTCCAAAAATTTCATTCTACCGGTGNTAAGTCATCTTGAGTTGCTAGAGGAATGTCCCCCTTGCGTGTTCGATACATTCATAAATCGCTTCTTTCGCCTGATCGTTAGGTAGAAACGTTAACCCTAGATACTTAAAAGGCGTGACGCGTTAGTCTGTTTTGTTGTTAGTTGTTATAAACATATTTGTCTTCAACGTTGTAACTTCTACTTCAAACTTGCCCAGACAAGGAAGATGAGTGGTCCAACACGAGAACCAACATTTTGAGGTTGTCGCTCAAACTAAAAAATATCATTTGCATATTTTAAGTCAGAGATCCATATTTCAGATCATAGTCAAATCCTGACTAGCCTATAATGCAGTTGAACAATGTGGAAGAGAGGACATCCTTGTCTCACACCTACGTTGGATGAGAATTTCAATGATTTTCCTTGCTAACACTCCATCGCAAATTCATGACGCGAAGGTTTTTTAGTGTTGTTGACATTCCATTGTCATTTCTGATCGTCTCTAGGGGTTCTCTTTCAGCGGATGTGGAATGTGCAACGGAAGTTGGTAAATAGGGTGGCCGTTGACTTTTGATACTGACAAATTTAATCCAGAGCTTTTCGGAGTGCACATTTTTGGTAGGCAGATCCTCTTCCGATCAGCAATTCTCTTAGATGCAATTGAGATCAACTATCTCTCTTTTCTTTGCAAGGATCGAGCAGAATGACGGAGAAACCTGTGGATGCTGCATCGATAAGACTGGTTAGGGTAAACTTTTCTTGTTAATGGAAAGAATGACTGAAGTGTCATAATCAATGGGAAATACTTTGCCAGATGGACCCAAAGGATCAGTATAGAAGACCTATTTGAGTAGGCAAACAAGCTATGCTCACTTCTGCTGTGACTCCCCAGGGACTTTCATATTCTTCAGTTCGTTGATTGTTACTGTCATACTTGTTATGCCATACGCCTCAAAACACGTCATGCAAATCCGATGCTGTATTTTGTATTTGAGGAACTTGGTCTGATGTGGGTCGGTTTAATAGCGTAAATATGTTCCGCCGGTCAGGGAATCTGGAATTCGTGTTTCGAAATAAGTGGCTCCTTTGCGTCACTTAGCGAGCCTTTCCCGGGGACGGTTTACCATATGTGAAAGCAGCATTTTATAAAACATATTTCCACATAACTGCCCGAACATCGTTTACTAATTGAGACCTCCAGTGTCACTCACGTTTGACCAAGGTGGGTGTCTCGCACATTTACACACGTAAGGTATAATTGATTTGATTTGATCATATATAACGGCTTGCGGTGGAGTAATATCCACTCCACCAGTTTGAAAACCTACAAGTCTTTTCACGAACCTGATCTTGTGAAGTGGCCACTTCACAAGCATTGATGATTTCACCTCCGCTGGTGATGAAACGTTTGCAAACAAATTGCCAAGCTCGGCGAACAGGCGAAATGAAATAATCACGCCTCTAATAACAAAAGTAGCTGCCCACCTTCAAATGTCCGCTGCATTTCAATAGTCTTCTCAGTCTTCTCATACAAATGAAACCCTTTTCAATGAAACTAGAAAGAGTAAATGGCGAAGAAAAACAGGGGTTTCTTATAAGCATTCAGAAATTTATTCTTAAATTCGGTCGTGAACTGATTTGACGCATGAAGAATGGTACATCTGCGGAAGAAATGCATTTACAGCATGTGTGGTAAACATGTATAGGCTTTAATCGAATTTGCCAAGGAAAAAGACCCACATGTGTCAGTCTGAGTAACTTGGTACTGTGTGAATGCTAATGGGATGAGAAATTGTAAAAAATATCCATTAAGGGAAAAACCTTGTTCTTTGTTGCTTATACCAACGCTTTGTTTTCCATAAATCACCTTATTCTCATCTTTGTCTTGCAGATACTGGAGCACACATCAGGGTCCTCACCCCAGCAACCCTCTTAGCACGCGTTATATATATAAGGCTGAAGATGACCGAAGCACTTAATAAAAATTGTCCCTCATGAAACCAGCTTATTCTCCCCTAGCATCTAACTTAAGCAAGAGGATAGGTAGCAGCATTTGAGCTCGGCATGACTCATCTGATTCCGAAGACAGCAAGAAATGTGATTTTTGAAATTCTTTAGAATGAAGGTACACCTAAATATTGTATTAAGTACTTTTTTATCGCGACTGGTTATGTGGGGTCGTCGTAACAGACTAAATATGAAGCTGGTTGTTACGTGACGAAAAGAAAAATGGAAAAACCTGTAACAGTTTTTGACAAGGAAAGGTGCCAGAACAATACAACAACTACATACGATAACTGAAGTAATATCGAATGAAATGACAACTGCATAAATTCGTATTTTTATGCAAGAATATTCACACCGCAGGTCCGTTAAAGCAAATAAAAATCAAGGTCTTATATTTTTCATCCGTCGTTGAAGCTATTCAGAGTACAAACTGTGCGATGGTTTTCAGTTAAACCCAGACTGTCTGTATGCAAACTGATATCTATCATGAGCGGCTGCCTTAGAAATGATCCAATGCGGCAAATGTTTCGCCATATTACTTTTCACATAACAGAAATGCAAAATATCAGTGATATTTTTCAGACTCACCTTGAAGAATCTAGGTTCGTCGGGTACACCCTCAAATATCAAGAATTTCGCACCGGTCAAGCAACCGTTGTGCTTAAGAGTAGATACAAATAGATGCATTGAAGGCATCGCGACTGTGGACGACGTTTTAATCTCATTTCGTTACCAAAAGAGCTATCTCAAATATTTTGTTTCTAGGTCATACATATTGTTTCTATTCCGGTTTATTTGAAATCAACGGTCCTAAAAGAGGGACAGAAACTGGCATTCCGCATTTTTATTTCCGCTTTGCTCTAGGCTGCGGTTTTGATAACTGTAACTGGTCTTTTTTTAAACTCTAAATGTCACTCACCATTCCCTCAGAATTTTTCTTCTATCCACAAGGCTTGTTCCATAAGATATCTATAGCATCGTATTTTCTTGTATCAATTACTTAATGAAATCTTCCCCCGTCAATAAAGTGCTCAGAGTTTCATGCAACCAGTTCCCTTTGACAGCTTCATGAGAGCAAGAAGAAGCAGCATGATCACAGGATGCATAGAATTAAACTATTTCGTGGTAATCTCATTAGCTGTGTGCACACATTCGCACAAATGCTTAGCTAAAAAGTGTTACTGTCCTTCTCCTTTCCTCCACACCCTGCAGTGATTACGCCCCCTGCCCTTATACCCAATACGGTTCGAACTAGTGACCTGTGGTCTTCGTATTGATCTATTTCTCTTCCCTGTGTGTGTTCGCCTATCCCCAAACCTGTCACTCGTTTAACGAAACGTGCTCTGAATTTACATCTGACGAGATTACCACGAAACATCCTGTGATCATGATGCTCAGAGTTTCTATTCTAATTCCGGTAGAATAATGACTGTGACTCGCCTGGCGAGTGATCTTCATTCTACATTTTTTTTGCACATAGTTAAACCAGTCTGAACCAAGCGGCCATTCATACATTGTACTTTTCGATTTGTTTTTCACAGTTTTATTCTCGCTTGAAAGGTTTAAAATGTTGATTTAAAGGTTGTGAAAAATATTTTTAATTAATTTTCGTAGCGTTATAAAACATTTCTAACTTACGTGTAATACTATGCTAAAAGGAGAATGTTCGAATTACATTCCACCGATTTTCATTCGGAGTAAGTTTGTTTTTCCATGCACAGCCCACCAATCTGCATCAACGAGATACGTAGAATTCTTTCTTGCTTTTTGCAAACAGACATCCGAAAAAATAATTTTTTTCCTTCGTATATTATTACTTATCTTTAAAAATAGTCCAGATTTAACTTGCAGTTTTTTCTCTTATTTTGCATTTTACCAAAGGGGATAGTTGTCAATGTACCGGTGTTCTATTTGGTCTGGAACCGATTTTACGGACCCTGCCCGCCTGGTTCCGGTTCGCTCAGTGTCTACGACGTTATCGGGACATGGAAGTGAAGAAGACGAACCCGCATATATTGAATGCAGGCAAATATTCAACGACATTTTTTGTTACCGTATCTCTCGTATGGGTTCAACTGGCGCCAAGTGAGTGGTATAAATTCAAAATAAATGATCATACTTGTTGAGTTATTTGAAATGTCCACGTAATAATCTTTATTGTCTTAATTATCGGATTTATTGCACCATATTGAGTAATCACTAAAACTTCAATGAGGCGTGTTTCTTGCATGTACCACAACTAATCTTTTTATCTTCAGCTTTCTACGCAGTAACACCTACTATCCTTGTTATACGTGCATCACATGCTCATATTCCGTAGTTTTGTCCCACTACGCTGCTAGTGAAATCCTGTTTGTTGTCTTTCAGTGTCCACAGCAGGTACCTTGAGAAAGTGAACTCATATGCATTCCCCGTAGGTTTCCTGGACACAACTCTTTCACCTACACAAAACAAACTAAACAGTTTAAGTAAACCAAACTTTTCGGAATAGACGCAATACTGTCCACGGTTGGCAATCAAATTGTATCCGAAACAAACGGGAAAAATGGGTATATAATTGATGACTTCAGCAAGAGCATGCTGAGAATTCATCAATTAGAAAGGAATGCATAGCTGTTTGTGGCAGACTAATACGATAATAACTTAGGGATGGTGATGATCAAATGATTCAACTTGCTATCATGGACTCCCACGGTCAAGGCACTGATAGGCAGCTTTTATATCGTCCGGCTAAATATCACACTTATTCATATGGGGAGTATGTGGTTCATCTCGGCTCAGTCCGCGTGCTCATGCAGCTTTTTATCATTGACTAGAAATAAGTGGTGATGCAGTGGTTTAGACGCTGTCACTGGCGTGCCTTGTACCCTATAGTCCGAGATTCGAGCCTCGCCACGTACACCCAACTTTGGTGGTAGGCTGTCATCCGGTTCTATACCACACCTGACCAAGTGGGGCCTCATGTGACTCGCCAGGTTGCCGGTTACCATCATCATCATTGAACAGCAGATCTTCGTGACTGTGGGGTCCGTCTGCTGTTCATCACACACTGGTGTGTAATAAAAAAACAAAATGATCGGGAAACAATTCTTAGTTCTCCATAGCTCGTCATTAATGTGCAGATGGGATTCTGGAAACTAATAAGATCCATATGGGTTACAGTGAAAGCCTAATCCGAGTGGACTAGTTCAGTGATTTCAAAACGAACATTTTAATTCCTACTCTGGTATTCGAAGCCATGAATCAATATACGTTTCAATCAAATGGTCGTTATCTATCATGAAACTTAATATATGCTTTGCATAATCAATGTTTTAGTAAATACTATTCAAATTAGCATCAATCTGCATAACTTCACATCGTTCCCAGTTTCTCCGGGATTCACTTTAAGGAATCAGTCCCCTCCACCACCACACACGACATTTTACTCAACTATTTTGTTGCTGTTATGAAGCCAGTGTGACATTCCAACTGTCTCTCAATTTGTGTCATATTTGTCGGTGAATGGCTCACTCGAATTCTCCACCACCTGTTCATGCATGCATTACGAGCACTATCACTAGTCTACGTCTAGTGTGTTTGTGACATGTTTGCTCATCGATTTCGGATTATTTTACTTTAATCCAGTACTATTTTTGTTTGTCTCTTGCGGTGGTTCACTTACTAGACTAATATATATGCAACGCATGCAGCCCAAACTGATCTTACATATTTGAGTTTGTCTAATGTAGCAGTTTTTGGAGGAAACGAATCATCACCAGAACCCATCGGGAAGATGACTTGGAGTAGGTATACTCAATTTTCTGCCTTTTGTCGTGAACATTCCTCCTTAAATGCTAATTAGTGGGGTATTACAATGACCTCTATGCCAAAGGTTCCTGGCGAGATTAACGTCGAATGGGTGTTATTTTGTGAAATATATGTTATTGTTAGACAGCATGTTAGGCTTAACACGACAAAAACAAATCATCCTCGTAAAAAATACCATATATGTATTGTTCAAGCGGCACATTTAAACCGTTTAAATGAATACGGCCGTAGAGGTGCTACCTGCATTCATTTTTGATCACGCAATTGCCTCTGAGATTTTTTCGGGTGATTTGTTTTCCTCTTAAAAGCAACGTCACATTTTGAACACATGTTGAATCATTTCATCCGTTTATCCAGTAGGAAGTAAGGCAAGAAAAGTATCTCTATCAAAACGCTTTTTGCACAATCTGATCATGAATAACTAGACCCGATTTGTGGCTAAGTGAGGCGGTTTATGCTAACCCCGAGTACGGTTGATCAGATGGAATAACTTCTTATGTTAATTCCGATACAGCCTATTGCATAACGGTAGTGATAATCATTCGAGTTCGAAACCACTGAAAACATTTTCGGACCGATTACAAATCTTGATAATTTACTTCGCTGTTTACTTACGTGTTTTCAAATTAAAATCGCTTTTAAATGCTAAAAAAATATATACTATTAACCTCCAATAATGGTGCTTTAGCAGGTACGGAAATTAATAAAATAACTTTAGGCTGTCGTGTTTTCAGGATAGTACTTCTTTTTGTTCAAAAAGCCTCAAGATCAAAATATTCGCATAGTCTAGCTAAGTCGACACATTTATTACAAAACTGCCAGTATTCATTGATATCCTTACGAATTCAATGTTTCATCACTTTCCATCATCTCAGGTATTCCAGCTCTGGTCTGTTTGGCCATTTCCCATTTGGCAAATTCAACGTATACGTATTCGTGGGACATATTGATGGATTGGGGCTTGATGGAATTGCACTCGGATAACCGCCTTCTTCGTGACGAGTTGGTTTACCGATACAAGGCCTACTACTATGTCGCGATTGCGGAAGATTTAATTCTCCGATTCACCTGGGTTATTCGGCTGAGCGTACAAAGAACGCATCCGGATAAATATGAACTGACCGTGACTATCCTTTACGCGGCTGAAGTGATTCGGTACGAAGCAGTTTAACTGAGTGACCTCAGTGCATTTACTCCATTGAGATTCCGCCTTTCATTTTTCGTGGTACTTATCAACATGTTTTTATCTTGACTAGCTCCGATTTTGCTATAGTATTCAAACCTCTATCATGTATTTCTATATATTCTTTGTGTGGTAGATTTCTGAGAGAGTTTTGCCTGTAGTCAGATACACGGAAATAATCGATTACTATCAATGTTAGAAATGAGTGATCGGTCAAATATAAAATAAAGATAGCATACATAATTTGTGAGTGGTTATATTTTTGATCTACCTGCACTCATCAGCACCAATTGGGGTACGAGGGATGTTCTGCACAAGATCCTCCTAGAAGAAAGGTGACGAACTCTGAGCAGATGAGTGAATAAGAGAAACAATGAGATAGGTCACTGTGTAATAAACTTGGGGGTTTTGATGT